TTCCTTAAGTCTCATCGGGACTTGTCATCGTGGATTGTGAGTCTAGAAGATGTTCTAGTTTACCTTTAGCTCCTTGAAGTACAGCTTCTACTTCTAAAGAAATGAACAATTTCATAATGAACCAATTAATTGATTGCACCTGACTTATATRCCAGTTTGAAACCAAGTGAAGAAAGTGCAAATAGGCCTTTAGCATGAAACGGTCACATTGTCGTAAGTTCGGCTTGCTGGATGATAAAATACCTACTGGAATGTTCAAAATAAAGAAGAGTCAAGCTTAACGGGCTGCGTTCCATCMAGTATGTCTCTCTACTTGGGTGTGTGTATTTTCTGGAAATATTCCGTAGCTTATTATTTTATAATATTTGGTTGTCTTATGTTATAAACTGTTGGATTGGTCGAGAACGCAGTGTAAAAGTGCATGCGCTTGGTGACTTATTTAATCTTACATGCACTCGACTGGTCAGAACCATTGTGCGTTCAATAACTGTCTTTGCTAAAAGCCGTATATTGAGCTCGTGGCGAGTTTTTTATTATTATTATTTGTCAGATCTCATCACATTTTGACGTCATCTGTGTATCTATTTAGAGTACAGACCCACAGAAAAATGAAAAAAACATTGTTAAATCACTCTATAATTCCTGTTTTGCATGCGCTTGCCTCCAGCATTTTTGAAAGCGCCCCTACATCTTGGAAATGATCTATTGTTGTTGTCTGGTAATTAAAATTTATAAGGAAAATCCACCGTACTTTTTCATTTCGATCATGGTATGAATTTAAAYAGGGTTAGTTTAGTTTTAGTTGATTACTTTGACGTCTCAGTATGTAAAGAGGAGGTTTTTACAGCTACTGACCTTCTGGACTTGGAAATTGGAAATATATCTTCTCCTTGTTGTTGAACATTTCTGGTGTTGGTGGAGAGTAGCTTTGGTGGCTAAAGTCACCCGACGATCTTCTCGAATAGTGTTGAGGACTCAGAAACATTGGAGTTCTGACTCCATCGTTTACCTAATAATGACAACCAAACTGTTACAACTTACAKTAGTACTTCTCAACGTGTAGGCGCCAAATATYTGGATGCGCCAATTGATTTTTCATTACTGACCACATCATTTGAATGATCCTTTGGGATGTTAGGGTAGTAGCTTCAAAGAATTTAATCAAACTATTTTTTTGTTTTTTCAATTGAAAATGTTCATATTTTTCGATATTTTCTCWTTAATAGSTTACAATCCGAAGGGCAATGATGGCGCGAACATGCTTGACACTCTCAATAGTTTTATCAMACCACTCTTTTTGACCATTCACGACATGTGTTATGTGATCACTATCTTTATACAGAATGCAATTAAAATATGTTTAGGTAAAGTTTTTTGAATTTCTGAGTATTTTATGAACTTTAAATCTCCATGCTTCAACCTTCAAATAAGAAAGAATRTTTATCTTACCGCAGCTTGAGAATTCTTTCTTGAGAGAAACTTGGGAGAAACTTGGTTCTTGTTATTCCGTTGTATTTTCGTAAAACAAGACACTCTTGATCGCGATCCTTTTGACMTTCTTGGAGGTGATGACAGATACCCTTCTTCCAGAACCAGCGGAGACATTAAGTTAGTGTAGCTTGTGGTTGTGGGTGTTCTTACTGGACTTCTTGCGTTGTCGACGGGGRRAAATTCTCCAGATAATCTCTTATCCTCTCCATCTAATTCTATTCTTTTGTTGAATTTTGACATTTTTCTTCTCCCAGTTAARGATGACATTTTTGGTGGAGTCCATGGGATGGTAAAACTATTATTTTCTGATTTTCCCTTTGGTGATAGAGTAGTTTTCGGGTCTCTTCTTCCTTCTTTTTCTCCAAAACTTGAAATTCTAATGCTTGGACTTTTCGGCGTACGTGGAGGTGAAAACGAATAGGAGCATTCTTTTTCACTAAAAGACTGAACAAATTCTGGAACTTTATCTGGACTAGATCCAAGACTCATCGATCTTTTGTTGAACTGAGATATCCTATAAGTGGTCGCATTTTCTCTTGAAGCCTTTGGAGTTGGTGGTGGTGATGGTTGGTACATTCCAGGGCGCCACCACGTGGTAGATTGAATAGAGTCGATCGAATTTCTACGGACTATGAAATGTCTTGGAATGCCTTTTTGTTGGTCTGAATCTTGGCTTTCTTTGGAGCTAGAGGTATTTGGTTGATCCATCGTAGATTTTGAGTGCTCGTTATTTAGTGGAGATGGAGATTGACTTCTTGGGGATAACGATGGAGATGAATTTTGGGATTGGGATGGGGATCTTTTCTTATAAACGGATACTTTAGGTTTAGTAATTAATGAGATATTTGAAATGTCGTTGACATCAATTATGGAGCCGCTTCTGGATCGTTGTGGAGTTTTCCGTCCCGAAGAAGATGAAATGACTTCGTCCAACGTGCAGATAGATGTAAATTCAACTTGAGCAGACATTTCTGTGCACTTTGTAGGTGTCAATTGCTTATTCGAGTCTCGCAAATTTACTTTTGATGACTTCCAAGTTGTCGAGGGTCGAGAATGTAAAGGAGATTTATCACCATCTACTGAAGGAAGGGAACACTGTTTTACCTGAGGATCAAAATACGATGAAGTATCAGGGTTCGATGAAATATCGACCTCTTGTGTATTTGTTGTTTCTTCTCCCTGTATAATWAGTGTAGTTTTTGACTGCCAGGCAGTAGAAGGGCTTAAATCTGTCGGCGATGGCGTTCTCGACGACGCTTTTGAACTCATTGGAGATAAAGGTAGTGAGCGCCTTCTCAGGGAAGACCTTGAATGTCGTTGACCTCTCTGTCCTTCAATAGGGGGAAGAATGATTTTATTAGAATTCAAATCTGTCGCTGAATTTTCCATCCACAAAAATTCTTTAATCTGTGATGAAGCAGTTGATTGACTTTGAGCACAGTCTAGTTTCTTCAAAAATTTATTAGAACGGTCGCTGTTTTCTAGTGTATCGCTGTCTGTTATCAGATCTAGACTCTGATTTCCAATTTCCAAAGATGTACTCGCAGTAGGAAGCGAATCGTTGATTTCCCCCCTCAATTCTTGTGAGTACATTTGCCCATGTCGTCCAGCTATTGGAGGAAGACGATTTGAATTTGAAAAACGGGAAATAGACAACAGGGTGTTTTCCAATGACGATGGCGGATGTGGTAGTATCTTTCTGTCGTCTCGATCATTCTCAATGTGACTATCATTTCGACTTGGCTGTGACGGGCCTTTTCCAAATCCACGGATGTTCCTGGGATAATTTAATTCAAAGTCTKTTTTATTGGATGTCACTGACGATGTATTGTTGAACGAACCTAGTTGTCCAGATTGGTCGCTCGACATAAGCTGACTAGCAAAGCCGATACTTTTTATTTTAAACGGAGCTGGTTTTTTCATTTCCTGCAGTGAAATAGTACGTAGTGAAATTCCATCGTTTGATGGCAATTCTTCTTGGGAACCACAGGAGACTCTCTCTTTGCAATTTGTCTTGAAAGTATTTTTGACATCAGAAGGAATTTCATTGATTTTGCGGTCGCTATTTGCGATTTCCACCGTCTTTTTTTCCGTTTGTTTTGTTTTAATTTCAGCTTCATTTCCATCTGAGTGGACTGAACCCTTCTCTGTTATTTCTGTTCCACCGTATTGCGCAGGAAAATCTTCAGCTTGAACCTTGTTTTCCGAGAAAGGTGGATCTTCTATAGTTCTGTCATTCCCTTTCTCATCCATCTTTATATCTTCAACTTTATATTCTKGTACTCAATGATTCCGAAATTAGTAATAAAGTACCTCCTTGAACCGAAACTGCGTAGTTAAATTTCAATCAATAAGTATGGGATCGATTCACAAAACAATTTATTTTTCGTTGTCCAGTGAGATAGGTACAGTTGCCACTATCGAAAAACATGGTTGTTATGGTAACTATTGACGTCAATTAAGTATTTTTGGCATGCATGGCGGGCATGTGTTTCCATCGGGCATTGTCATGGTAAAAAATTATACGCATTTTATTGGCTATACTCGAACCATTGACGATCGTCATGAAGTGCTCTTCTCTCCAATTATATTTATCTCTATAGAAACATACATGCCAACATGTGTTATCTGACAGGGTTATGGCGAAGGGAAGGAGCGATAAGTTTCTAATGCTAGTGGATCCAATGTTTTTCCTTTGTTAGCCTTTCTGTATTTGGTTAGTTGCGTTGTGTTGGAAGTGCAAGAGCTCCGTTTTTTTAGTCTACATCTTTTTGGGGGTTTTCATTGTCCACTTCCAGGACAAAATGATCTTTATTTTTTTTGTAGATTACAAAAGAAAGGACTGTATCAGATGAAAACCATGTGATCGTGCGGGTAATATCTGATTCTTTTGTTGCAATGGTAGACACATTTAAAAAGGTAAAGTCAGTAATTCTACACTGTTCTACATATCTATCGTCGATGAAGGCCCAGTATCACCCTGGATGCTTTGCGCGCCTCGTCTTAGCTTTAAATGAAGACACAAATAAACGTTTCTACGTGCAACTCAAGTTTCAAAGCTTGGATGGCAAAACAGAACAATTAGAAAAAWATACTTATATACAAAATAAAAATATACCGTCGCAAACCAACCAGGATGAAGCGGGCCGAGTCGTCATTGTTGTCACTGTTGCTTTCTAWCTTCGTTAGTTGATACACGATACAGATAGTGATGTTTTCATTTGATGTGATTGACTTTTGCAGACGAGAAACGGTTACAGTGGATCTGATGAACAATCCTTTGAAAAGTTTGGACGTACTCTCACTAGCACATACAAGAATAAAAATATAACGCTACTTGTAATTGGACTCGAAAAGTATTTCAGGTACCATGACCATMCAGATTTTCGTCTATTAAATAAACTGTTTTATCGTATAATTATCTGTGTATATAGTGGAAGTAAGAAAATAGGTATTATACGACATAATTTGCTTTGATATGTAATTATATGATAAACAGAATATTACATGGTCGCTTGGAGATACGGATTTTATCTTATCGTCTACMGTCGAAGATAAAATCCGTATCTCCGCGTGCCCATGTAATATCCTCTATTTATCCAAACATTATACACTGCAGAGGCATCAAATCCAAAACAGCTCGAGATTATCGAAACGCAGTTCGCGGAGAAGCAGAACAGCCAAACAGCAAGAAACTGCCCGCATCAGAGTTGGTAGTTTCCCAAATAGACGTGGAAGAATTTCTTGTCTTTGTGGAGTTGACCACTGAATTCAAGATAACTTTTTGTGAGACAATGCAAGACTTGGCTGATATTATTACCATGGTTACTAAAGCAGTTGCCGAAGCGCCTTTCAAGTGAGTTTTGTTGTTCATTTTAGAGTCGTTACACTTAACCCGTGAAACGCTACGTATGGTCTTATTAACCGAGCGCGCRGTTTAGATACTGTACTTCCCAACCGCGGTTTTTGGTTTTTCTAGACCAAGCAAGCTTAGTTAATAAGAGTTGGATAACCGTCTTGAATTCGCATTTTGCGTGATAATGCGATAGACCAATGGTTTTCCCATAGTGCAATTCGTGATTCATTTATAACATTTTTACGGTAAAATAGACGTATATAAAGAATCATAAAATATTAAAAATCATAAAAATGTCTGACTTTTAGTAAAGTAAATGAGATATGTTCTGTTTTAATGGTGCGTTAATTCAATTACGCGTATAAACGTACTGCCATTCAATGTTTTCAACTTTTAATTTGTTTTATTTTTATACAGATGTTTTATTTGTATATATTCTTGTAACTATATGTTGGTTAATTTTTTAAGGAAAAGTCARCCTGATTCCTTCAGCTTTTGTACAGATTCAAGAACAGCTTCAGTAAAGGTAGGAAACTAAAGCAAATACATTACTTTATCTGATTTCATAAAATCATAAGCGAAATTATTGAAATTTAGCCAGTAGGCATTGCCGAAAATGAGGTCAGCTGGACGAAAGGTCAAATTGTATTGTGTAACGAGCTATGGTTGATCACTGCGGAGTGCTTTTGTCATTTCCCGTGATGCATATCGATCGCATATCGATCAGTTTCGGCTGAAATACAATACGTATTACACCCGATTTCAAATGAGTGCGAACTCTCGAATTTTTTTTGAACGCTAAACTTTCACTCGACCGTCCTTCACTCGACCGCTTTGTAACCAGGCACACGTGTTTAGTAAGTGATGCGTGACTTTCTGTAGCGGGACTTTCGCRTTTADAAWTAYGGAGGAAGAAGCGGTGGTCTTTGTTCGAGATATCTGTGGTCCTTGTGTTTTCCAGAACATTCTACTTCACTCAATGCAATTGAGAACAATTAGAAGAATATCAACTAAACTTGATTAAAAAATATAATTTTCTATCTGATTTGTAGTTTAAATTTGACTTTATTAACTTGTAAACATCAAATGCATGCAAATAATACTTTGCACAAAATCAATTAGGTATGGCTTTGCAAGAACCATGAACTTGAGGGTGTTGTTTTCTGCATCTTGAAAAGATATTCTTATGWTGAACTAAAATACACATTTTCCTTTTCTTTCGTTATGTAAACAATTTAAGTTTACAATAAAAAAATTATCAAGCAACCGAAAAAATAATTGCAACAAGGTTGAAAACGAAGTAGCTTAGGTTTAAATGTAACCTTCTTTCGAAGAAGTAAATATATTCTTATTCGTATTACTGTAAAAACCCTGATTGATTGAATACAAGTTTACAATGACACTTACGTGTGTATGTACAGCAACATTTCCTGTACGTTTATAAAGTTGTCGAATTTTACAAACAAACGTTTTCCCTACAAATAAACGCTCTACAAGTTTCCTTAATGCTTGAACCGTAAATAAGTTCATGGTAAATAACCTTCCACCGAATATCGTCCGATAACCTCTTCATTTTAATCAGTAAACTAGTAAAATCAACAAAGAACAGCCTACGAACAYTAAAAGCGATTTAAAGTGCGCGCGCTTGTCAGTGTTTGTCACGCTATTCATTTTTCAACTGTTTCGTTGTAATTGTGAGCTGAGAAAGTTAAGCAAACCGAAACTAGTTTTTACAATAAGTTCGTTTTGTAGTGCGATCATAGGAGGAGCCGACGGGTTCCTGGGAGAAATATATCTGTTCTTATCTCCCAGCCAGCTGTAAGTCACAACTGGTTTCCAGCGAGAAATTCAGGAAAACGAACTCTCAAGGCAAGGAATACTTTCTAAGAACTTTTGCCAGGAAAATTAAAATTTCCTAATTAAAAATAATATAAGCCTTATTTGACCCTAAAAACGTTTGCCAGGAACAAAGCTATTTTAAAGAAGGCCGGCGACATATTTTCTTGTGAGATTGTCAACAATGTAGCTGAAGGGATCCTTTTCCCAGGAAAAATTTCTTACAAGAACAATTATTTAGAAGAACAGACCCCGTCGGTTCCTCCTGCGATCACAAACTGTAGGAATTTAGCCCACAGACATACATTAACCATGGTTTTTATACTTGGATAATTTTACCCGCTTCAAGCTGTGCCAGGTTACCAAGTGGTCGAGTGAATGACGGTCGAGTGAAAGTTTAGCGTCCGAAAAAAATTCGAGAGTTCGCACTCATTTGAAATCGGGTGTAAATCATCGGCATTATATCGGCTCTTGTCCTGTGGTTTTGAATTCAAAACATGCATGTGAACAGGGTTGAATGTGTTTTTTTCTAAGGTTTCAAAGGACGGCCAGGGTCTCGTCAAGCTTTGGCAACAACAGCTTCAACAGTTTCATAATGTGTCAGCTAACATGGCCGCCGCTATTGTTTCTGTATACCCCTCGCCATTGCTTCTGATGAAGGTAATACGAACCTATGTACTAAGTCCTGAATTGATTAAATATGATTGTGAATGACAATGATTTAAGAATAGTAGTAGGTTTGTAACCTTATTGGTGGAAGGCGGATCGAGCCACAATTTAGACAAAACTTGAATAATTTCTCTCCCTGATAATCCCCATTACTTTGAATTTAGGCCTATAAAGACTGCCCTAATGAACACAGTGCAGCTCTTTTGCTCAAGGATATTTTGGTAAGTAATTTCTACATTGATWACAAGTGGGCTTATAAATATGTCGTGGGCTACATTTGATGGAAAAGAGGCCTCCTTAGCCTCCTCCCCAGGCAACTCTTTTTTTTCCTTTTTTGGGTTTCCTTTGTAACGGTCATCTTGGCCGCTAGGGACTAGTGACGAGAAAGGAAAATTATAGGAGAGGAGATCACACGACTCACCTCTCTCTCCCCCATTCTCCCTCTTTTGACTCCCAAAAAAGACAGGAAGCCCGTGATTCTTAGTGATATCTGCGGAAGAGGATAAGGCCACTTTACTCTTTCAGAATATTAATGGAAGTAAAGCAAATGGCCTACGCTTATTCATCACCATTTTTTTAATATTAACGGCGCCGCTAATAAAACCGGTCAACTATAACCATCACATTTCGATATTCTTATCCGCACATAAAGTGCATTGAATCTGTAAWCCGCATTGCAAAATCGGTTATCGTTCGCCACCAAGTGATATCTTCACACAGTCATGAACCGTCACAAAACGGCATCCTCTGGCAGCCCCACATCACTACTGTGACAAGACAACAACAGGGGTCTGAAGAGTACCATGTACGAACAGTTCGTTACAAAAACTAATTTCACATACAACGCATTCAATCGTGCGTTTTTTCTAGCGAGTCAGTTGTTAATCTAGAAATAATGCTTCTTATTAAAGTGAATTATATAATTGATATCCTTGCTATAGAATTCTATCAGTTTTGAGCACCACTCAATACAATATAAACATACTGTTATATATCATAGCCGTGCTTTGAAAACATTTTGGATGATTTACATTTAATTGAACATACTCTCAAGATTTAAAAGATTTTTGCGCATTACTTTATCATGTGTGAGCGAAAATGCACTTCGATTAGGGAAGTCGCTTTTTTCCTTCTTTGTCAAGAAATAGTTGAATGTTAATACGAGCTCTCACCCCATCCCCCTCGATCCCCCTCGATCCCCCTCGATCCCCCTCGATCCCCCTCGATCCCCCTCGATCCCCCTCGATCCCCTACGCCTCCTACATTTTGTTCAAAATATATTTTGAGTCATCAAATACAGTAAATAACTAATTGATTCGCAGTATACGTTCGCGGTACGYTCGACAATGAGATAATTTGCTCTTGAAATGTCGTTGTTTTATATTTTCCAAGGTGAGGAGAGGTRCSGGTGTACTGGCTACATCAAGGCGTATTGGGCCTGAGCTATCGCGCCAAGTATATTTGTTGTTTAATTCGACTGATGGAGATGCTCTCACCAAATAGGACGCCAAGACATTCACAGTAAGTAGATCAATAAAAAGCATGTCAGGGAAAAGTCAAATAAATGGTAATGACATGGAGTATACCAGTGTGATCTTTTTGATTGATGTTTGTTTTATTTACCGCTGTGAAATAGACGCGCGCCATTTTACTGGTATCATCAATACGCTATAATCAGGCGGCCCATCCAATCGGTAATGGTAGATCTAATGTTTTGCTTATTTTTTCATAAACGAATTGCTAAAATTGCTAAAATAAGTCTATTAAAGCGTTAGATAGGCCTATCACCCATTTGATGGTCTGTCTGTGCGCACAATTTAGATTTTAAAATCRGTTATTTTGTAKCGCGCTGCACACTGCGAAGAATGCGTGAATTCACTATTGAATAGAGTATATATAGAATATGAAGAGAATATATTCGCTATTGTACAGCGACAAAATCAAGGGAMACAGAAGAACACAAAATGGCAATGTTGCGTTGACATTTAGATCCGTGAGCATATAAATAAAGAAAATCCACMCTTTTGTTCCTGGGGAATCATTAAGCAATAATAATTTAGTCCGTTAAAKTGTGTTTTTGACTTTGCCGCGTTCCTTGTTTTGAAGTTTGAGAGCCGCCGTAACACAGATATGTTGACAGTCTTGGAATAAGATGCTAGAAGAGTCACTGGGAACGTTTTCAATAAATGTACTAATTTTCATAACAATCATATAGCAAGAAAGAAATTAGTACGTTTATTCAAATCTATTTCCTAAGTTAGGAAAAGAGAACTGAACAAAAATATCGAAAAAGACTCCAACACAATTTTATGAAAAAGTCAAATTGATTGACATTCAGTTTCATCCCGACTTCTGGAGTGAGGCACATGCCGTTAAAGTGTACAACGTTTATTGGAAGACTTACAGTGTCCCAGCTTATTCTGTCTTTGTAGAATGAGGACGTTACTGGTGYAACCCAAGGAACAAACAGCAATATTTATTTAGTTTAGTCTTTATTTGCTGAATACGGAATTCTTATAACATTTCATAATATTCTTTAAAATACTCAGCTAACTAGTCGCCATTATTCTGTAAACAAACGCTTTCCATGCCATCGTATTTCCTGTTTTTAATGGTCACTTGGAAAGGTTTCGCCGTACAGGTCACTTTGGCTTCTCTCTATCGTCGTTAAATTCAGTTGTCCTGTAAAAGAGACATTAGTGCTAGAAATTTACATTTTCCCCGAGTTAAGGCTAGCCCTGTATTCTTAGAAGGCTCAAACGTTRGGTCTCATGTGAAGACAGGGCTAGTCTTAACTCAGAAAACATTTTCAAGGCTATTGTAATAACGACATTTTCTCATGCTCTCTTTTGTGTTTGGTAAGATCTTTGCGTAAGAGAATCTGCTGTCAAATAAAACAGCGGTTGTTCGTTTTGAATTCGAAATGGACTTTTGAACAGGTATTGAGATAGACGCAAATAGTTTTTATCAAAAGAGGACAAAACCTGAGCTTTCTATTGTATAAAAACTGAACTGAGACAATTGTGTAGGTCTGTTCTACGATAGAATTTGCAAAGTCTTTYAATCTAAACAAATATCATGAAAAAGGAACTTTTCTTTTCATTTTCATTGTTTCTACGTCAAATAGCTGCTACTATTATCCGATTCCTTTAACCTTGTTTTTGCTTACCCGCTTTCCCCTTATATGGTAATAGGCCGGCTGCGTTAAGTCCACGAATGGTGGTTGCTGGGCAACTCTCTTTCCTCTGATGTGGTAGTACGCAGGCGCAGTAAGATCAACATTTGGTGGAAACTGTCTCTTTCCCCTAATATGGTAAAAGGCTGGCTGYGTCAAGTCCACTGCGAATGGCGGTTGCTTKGCTACACGTTTTCCCCTAATATGGTARAAGGCYGGTTGGGTTAAGTCCACGAATGGTGGTTGCCTTGCAACACGTTTTCCCCTAATATGGTAAAAGGCTGGTTGSGTTAAGTCCACGAATGGTGGTTGTTCCTTGGCATCTTTCTTTTCTTCTGTTGCTATGACGATGGATAGCATCAYAGCTAAACTTAAGAGCGATAAGACGTTTTTCATGGTGAGCCTGTAAAAGATTTAAGATGAAGCAATTCGTCCAAGAATGAGCATTTTTAATACTAATCTTTTAATGAAATTGTTGCTCAATAAAGCAATGACAGCTATTATTGTAGTGAATTATGACCATATTTTCTGTTATCACTTTAAATCAGACTGTCAAGTTGTTGATATCGGAGCAGTATACTGCATAGTGTTGTAGTAGACAACATCTACAGGAACCCAAGTTTATGTATGACGTATATATATTCTGTTTTATGAAARTAAGCCAAGGGTTATTTTTTCACTTTCACTTGATTATGAACTTGTATTCTACTCTGATCGGTGTGCAATTCAGTGTGCAGTATCCAACATTTTTCTGAAATAGCGATATATCTGATAAGTATGTTTCTAAATGTAACGCTTTTCTTTGATTCCTTTTTGGCGGCATTTCTATCTACCTCGGTACGCCTCGAGGACAAATGGCATCCTTTTAAAAATGTTTTTCTTTTCTTGGGATTAGAATCAAGACGACTRAAATTAACAACAAAACTGAGATTTCTGTATAGATTGGTTAAAATTGTAATTCAATTTCTTATATGGAGAAACTGTGCCTTGCTGTGATTTCAATTAKTWCATTAAAATATACCACTTTTATTCTACCAGCTTGAAGACCCGTTGTAATTTTTGCTTCATTTGATTCGAGAAAACATAGCTGTGTCCTTTGTACTAGTGTAAAAAACTGTAAATTCACTATCGAATTTGATGGTTCATTTAGGTATTAAATGGAAATTTAAGAAATGTGAAAATGCCATCTAATATATGGGATAGCCTTACCTTTACTGAACGCCGTCGTTATTTGAGACTCCTGCAAAAAAGCACGGTTTATAGCAATGACCAAATCAGTGGCTTCTGCTGCTTTTATGTACTCAATCTTGACCACCCCAACGTCCCAATTAAATCAATTTACCTGTTATAGCCGTTATTTCCAAATGCCTGTCGCTTCGACCTGTCAAATCCGTGCAACGTGTGACGTGCGYGTTACACGTGCGTGAAGTGTGAAGCTCGTTATCTACCGGATTTTTGCGCTCGGTAATMGTTTGTTGGCGTGTGATCGTTTCAGTTGATGTGAAATCGTTTTTCTAATTAATCAGAAYGTGCCTCCGGTTGTGTTCTTGAACCAATGGATGCACCTCTCCCCGGGATTCCTGGCCTTTTGGGGGAATTTCTGGAATTCTCTTAATGCAATGAAGAGGAATAAATGCTTTTTCAAGAAATGTAAAATGTGTAAAATATTGAAGCTTTTCGAATGAGATGAATCTAACAAACACTATTCGAGTGTCGGATATTTAGATTCWTAGCGATATCTTGACTTTGTTTCTRTGTGTGTCAGTAGTTAGTTCGATATAGCTCTTATATCTCATGTTAGATGGAAAACAGATATCTTAGTAACATTGAACAATATTGTAACGAGGTAGTGATATTGCTTCACTGGTATTGTGTTTTATCTTTCTTCTTCTCGGCTTGCTATCTTAAACTAAATTGAAATCCCTTTTTTTTCATATGACTTTCCTTTCATGTTGTGGGAGTTCACTCGACCACCACACAATCCTTCACTACTTTATGATGTGTCCTCTGAGTGTTTGTTTACCATCAAAGTGAATCTCGCTAAACGTCTAATTGAAGCCCTTTGTTCGCGCTTTATAACGACAAATTTGATAATGACCTAGCCGCTTTTTTAAGATTATCGCAACATTTTGTCATGTATCTGGATTTTCCATTTTTAACGTTCTGGGAAAGTGCTTCAAATAATTATCGTTATCTTTTTATATATAAACATATTTTTTACATATCTTTTACAACGCACTAAAAGAGTTTTGTATACCGACAATAGATTGATTATTCGTGCTTGTATTTTTAACTGTACGCGTTCCTAWCCTTAAGTATTTGTATTTTTTCAGTGTTATTTTGGTTTTATGATACAAGACAAAACTAGTCACCTGCAGCATGGCTGTTCAGTAATTGGTGTAAACGAAAACCGGAGGTCAAAAACAATATACTTGTTGTCCAATTAGTAGAAGAAAAACCTGTCTAAATCAGTACAAGTCACTCGGTTGTAATATTCTACGGAAGATTTCTTAATATTCACGTCGAGTACTTGAAATATTTTATCAATGTAAACAAAATTGCCACAAATTGTCGCGYCGTCATGGGCTAAATCCGTGCTTTGTACTAACACTCTACTTTGGCAATTGAATAGATGCTCTAATGTAAAGTAAAATCTCTTGACATCGTGAAAAGCTGTCTGTCTTACGATCATTGTCAGACAAAAAATGAACCATTCCACTGTCCTCTTTGTAATGATGGAATTGACATTTCGATATTGCTTGAAAGTTACCCGAGGAAAGATTGTAATTTTTTTTATTGAATTTTCTTTTCATTAGCTTTTCGTCCAATTCATTTTATTCTAATCTACACGGCAAGTATTACATAAAGTTTTTCCAGTTGATTTTCGGGATATGAATACTTCCGGAAGGAACAAAGGAAGACATCTGCTGRAATCAAAACTGAGATTAAAATGGATTGTAACGTTTTATCCGAAATGAAATGGAAATGTGTAGCTTTTCTTATTAACTTCATCCTCGTGATTGTTAGTTTTGTTSTRCCAATTTTCTGTGTTCTTTATTTYTTATTTGAGCATTTCCGCGGCTGTCTATTTTCTTTCTCAGTTTTGTTTTTTCTTGGTGTTATTTGTATACAGCTATAGTTAGGAATGATTTCTTTTTTCTGTGATTTGCTTCTCTAGTATGGYATTCAATATCTTAAGGTATTTTTCAAGGTTTTTATCTCAAGTGTAGTAGGTACTTCAGGTTTACTGGCAGCCGGCGCCGCACCTCTTTTCAAGCATTCTTCTAAAGAAAAGTGTTTTCGGTGCCACCTTTTAATTTTGTATAGTATTTAAGTGTAAATTAGTATAGTATTCTGCGTTCATGTCTCTACAGAAGCGTAGTAAAAGWTCTAGATTCTATTAACCACTATTTGTGAAAAGTAGTGAGTACATTGAAGCTATTTCTTTTACTCTATTCTACTTAAAGAAATTGAAGCAAGACATCTATGTTTTCAAAAGTTATTGTTAGGTAGCTATTATTAACTAAGTAATAGTTCAATGATGGCGGTACATTCTCTATACATAAAAGTATTAAATATTATGATTGCATTCGTTAAATAATTCTTGAATCATCTTTTAAATGTTCCAGGGTATGTTTTTGTAGTGATTTGGGATAAAGGAATTCTAAATTGGTCTATAGTATGAACCTAATTCTTGTTTGTATGCAAGGTCCCTAGATAGCYTGCCGCGCTTCCTTGATAACATGGTTCCAGAGGCGATTGCAAAAATATCAAATTTAAATTCTTCCTTCCCCTGCTTCTGGCCTTTTGTGGCCTAAATCGTTTTTTACAAGCATGCTCTTTGTAATGGCATGTTATAGCGCGCATCGTTATAATGGCATGTTATAGCGCGCATCGTTATAATGGCATGTTATAGCGCGCATCGTTATAATGGCATGTTATAGCGCGCATCGTTATAATGGCATTTTATATCGCTTCTAGGACCAGAGTACTTAATTGGACAATCTGATAAAACTAAGCCTCATTTTGAAATAGTGTTATTCAATTTGTAAAGGAAAAAAATCTAAAAAGAAGAGAACACATATGAATGTGATGCGTCGAGAAAATAGGAGATTATCCTACAGTCATTTTCAGTTAAACTTCTAATGTCATTACTTCGAAACGAAAAGAACTCAAATCATGTATACATAATACAAACTTCAAGACAAGTCGTACATTGCTCCGAAGACACTATAGGACGATACGACCTATGGTGACATCTAACCGGTGACTTTTATTCACAGTAGGTCCTAGGACTAACTCGGTCATAGTCAAGAACGCCTGCCTGTTTTTATTCAACTCAAACCTTTTCCTCCGTACAAACGAGAAGGGTTTGTCGTACGACTTCCATATATGGTTGTGCATGTACGGCGCTGATGTGCACATAGAAGGCGCTTATGTGCAGATAGAAGGCGCTGATGTCCCAATTACGTGGAGAAGAACTTAGAAAATTTCAAAGACCTAAACTTAAACTGAAAAGAAATTTTTGAAGAACGAGTACTAAGATTCGAACCAGCGCTATGTATTGCCTAACCCGATATTATCCCTAAACCTAACCATTAAGCCACGAGACCAATTCGCTTGAGTGAACCTGAATTTTTGTGATATTTATGCAACGGCATGCATGAATAACCACGCATATGTACATAAGATTGAATATATAATTAATGAACCATCTATAGGGACATGAGAGCCTTCTATAGGTACATTAGAGCCATCCATATGGACATCCATATATGGAAGTCGTACGACAACCTCTACTC